GAGAAATTCAAAACAAATAAAAAAAATAAAGTAGGGGCCAAGATTCACTTCGTCCCCCATAAATTTTATTAGGAAAATTGTTACAGAAACACAGTGATTCTGAAATAAATTTGGTAGCTAAAGATACAGAGCAGAGTAGACAAAATAATACTATTTGGATAAAAAAAAAGAGAAGTTTTTGTACCTTGGTCATTAAACTGCTTATTTTAGCATTAATTTCGGTTGTTTTCCTCTTATATTCATATCTTGGTCCCCGTTAAATCAAACTGTCATTTTAGTTGTAAACATTGTCCGACAGAGCATGCCCCCGAACGGACCGAACCCTATTGTTTCTTCCTGCCATCTGTAGGCGCACTTCTGAAAAGTTTCATTCACTTCCAAGATACATTCGAGCAAAAACCGAAGAAAACCTTTAATAACGTTAGAAGTAGCGTATAAGGCGAGCCTACTTGGTTTATTCGAGACTTGTGTCTGCGAATGAGCAAGATCTTTTTCATACAGAGGCTTTGTTCATCATTGGTTCTAACTAAGGTCTTAAAATAATTGAAATGTACAATTACGTCACATGAACCTCGGGTCAAGTACACTCGATTTAGTTGGGAATCTCAAATGTGCATGACTTGTTCACACGAGTTAACAATGTTGCTTTAGTGGATTCAGTATAGGGATGCTGACAGCATGTGCAAAGAAATTTACAAACCACGTTTGATGACTTTAAAAATACATCTCAGCTGTTTCTATAAACGTAAATAAAATCACGACCTATATTTCCAGAATGTAACTTTATTAGCTCAATAGTTCGCTATTACAGCTTCGTCAGGAGCCATCGATATCCTACAAGTTCAATAATCCAGTTAAATCTAAACTGTCATCCGTAAATCGAACATTGATACACATTGATTGTAGATAAGAGAAACTTGGCGACCCATACATGATCGAATATCTGAACATGTGCCTGACATTCAAAACCTCAATACTAACATTGCTACTGCAGAACATTATGTAAAAGAGCGTGGATTACCACAAGAAAATAACATCTTATCGGATGTCAAGATCTTATCTAAATGTCATAATGTTTTAGAGAAAATAATTAAAGAATCCATTTTAATCAAGAAAGAAACCTAAAATGAACAAATACAAAGGTTGGCCTTTAGTGTAGAAACGTTAATAGCATTTTAAAGTTTTTAATATGTTGAACTTTGACACAGTCTCTATACACACTTATAAGGGTTGAAATATATGTTCAGACTTTGTTTTATGTATGTACTCATATAATAATATGAAAAAATACTTAACAATACGAACATGAAGAAATGTTTTAGATACGTAACGTATTCTATTCCAAATCCAATGATGTTAACAGTTTACTTATTGGTTTACACATGTTATTTATTTAGCATTGTTAGTTTGATTTGTCTTAACAATATAAATTCAAGAATGTTTGATTTTATTTTCATATAATATGAACTTTCCAAACACGTGTATCAATGTTCGATTTACGAATGACAGTGTTCCAATTTAGATTTAACTGGATTAGGGAACTTGTAAGATGTCGATAGCTCCTGACGAAGCTGTAATAGCGAAACATTGAGCTAATAAAGTTACATTCTGGAGATATATATATGCCTTGATTTTATTTACGTTTTTAGAAATGTCTCATAATAAACTCCATTTCGCGTTAATCAAAGTTAGGAATAATAACATCTCAGCTGTACCTTGCGCAGTACGTTTCTTAACTGTTTGTTTTAATAATCAAATAATATTTGCTCATATGTGGCAAGATAATAATAGCAGGATATATCGTAAATTCATATACAGATGGTTTACTAAAAGTACGTTCAATAACATATAGAGGGAATAATACTTGCATAAGACTTATTTGATGTTACGAAGTTTTGCTTAAAGAATTCAATCAATGCTAGATATTTTATATAGACAATGGAACAAAATTTTAACCAAGTTTTATTTAAAAACACTTGACATTAAACTTGCAAAAGTAAAGTAAAAATCAGTAAATAAAATGTCTTTTGTTTTTATTGTATACTTCACATTGGAAATGGCCATTAGAGTAAATCAAAGTGTCGAGAAATGAAAGTTTATAGTCTTTTCAATATTCAAAAGTGAAAATCACACATTTTATGCTTACTATTCAATGGAGATGCTTGATTAGAAATCTTAAAAATGGTAAAAGTGGCATCCACATATCTGCAATAACAAAGCGGTTTGAATGATTTCAGGCAGTCTTTCAACTATAGTTTTTCACGATAGCACAGAAAAAGATTGACTAAAGACTTTGCTAGTCTAGAACGAGTAGCGACACCATAAATCTGATTGTAAAAATTGCCGTTAAAAAGAAAATAGGATTATTTTAAAATATAGCAAGGCTCACCAACTTCAAAAAGACAGATTTACGAATGGCAAACTGTCAGAGCTGTTATTATTATTAAATATCAGATCGATACTTAACTGTCTAGTCTCTTCGAATGGAATTTTTGTATTCAACGACTCGACATCCAAGGTGGCACAATGAACGTCACTTTCAAACTATATTTGTTGTAATTCACTGGAAAATTCAAAACTTTCTTTCCAACTGTATTCATTGGTGGTCAAAGTTTTAAAACTTGAGCCAAAAAATGAGCCTATAAATTACAAACTACAGGTCGTAATGGACAATATTCTTTATGAACATTAGAAATATCATAGGACTCCTGGGTGGCTACTTGATGGACTAATATTACAATTTTTTTTTCATTTAACATACTGTCCTTCCTCAGTTCTAATAAACATCTTTATAATTTTATCAGTGAGGTCATAGTATAACTTCACAAGTTTAGTAAAATAACTTAAATATCTCCAGATACATTACTATTCCCCCCCCCCGTGGCACAGCGGTATGTCTGTGGACTTACAACGCTAGAATCCGGGTTTCGATACCCGTGGTGTTTAATTGCAACCAACCAACCATACATTACTATTATCTTTGTAAGATTTAGAAATAATTATACTGTCATTTATGATCAGATTTTTCAAGGCTTATAATTGCTTTGAACTTAAATTTAATAATTAATTATATTACGTATTTTACTGTCCAAACTAGACGTTGAAGGGAAATCAAAATATACGAGTAAGGGAATTTTGAATTTTTGTAGTTGTTGTAAGGTTTCTTTGTAAGCGAAATAAGAGTAAATATCGATAATATAATGATTATTATTTATACGTATAAAGTTTTATGGAAGTATATATAACTTATGGACTATTCTATTACACTTTTCTTTTTTTCTACAATAAAAACGTTCGACTCATTTGCCAGAACGTGCTACCTGAGTTACTGAATATCGCATATCATACACGCTGTTATTTATTCCGGCCTAGAAGCTAAACCTTGTTATGAAATAAAATTACAAGTGTGATATAAACTTTCGGAAGTTATAAAATCGAATGTTTGCATCCAACAATATGAGTTTAACCCTCAAATTAACGTATATCCCTGGAGGGATCCACCTATTGCACTATATTGAGTGAGTTTACGTTTTTGCTTGTTACAACAGCGTAAAAAACTGATAACAAATGGGTGAATCTCATTTTCTATGCAAAGATACATAGGAGACAACAAGTAGTAAGCAGTGGGATTAACAGAAATATTTAAACTGTGACTCGCATGTAAAAGTCATGAATCTACAAGCAACTTGGTGCATAAATGGTTAAAACATGTAGTTAAAAAGTTAGTCTAGACCTCATTGATAATTCTAGGAACTACGTTAAGCGTATCTTGTTTTGAATGAAGGACTAAAACGTACTTTTAGTTTAGTCACAAGAGAAAAAATGCGTGTATATAATGTCAAAGTTCTTAATTGGAAACTACATGGAAATATGTAAACCATGCCAAGTCGTCATGAGTTTAAACTATGTTTAGAAGCCAGATAATCTCTGAATCTATAAAACATACCGTGAAAAGTCGTCATGAGTTTAAACTTCATTTAAAAGCCAGATAATCCGTGAATCTACATGATAAACCGTGCCAAGTCGTCATCAGTTTAACCTGTGTTTAGAAGCCAGGTAATTTGTGAGTTACCGAGATAAACCGTGGCAAGTCGACATAAGTTTAAACTGTGTTTAAAAGCCATATAATTTGTGAATCCACAGAATAAACCGTACCAAGTCGTAATTAGTTTAAACTATGATTAGAAGCCAGATAATCTGTGAATACACAAGATAAACATCAGAAACTAGCTACGACTTCAACTTCGTTTATTAAACTAAGAAATGAAAGTTTGGTAAAGCATGTAATGATTGCATTTTCGCTAAACATTTTGCTGGCTTGTTTTTGTGTTGTCCTCCAAAATAAACACTATATATAAAAGACTGTGTTAAGAATCTAGACACAAAATATGCTACTCTGATAGGCTTGTGATGATCAGAATATGCAATTACTGAGAACTGTTAGATTAGAGCCGAGTAGTCCATTGATTAGTGTGCCGGACTATGGATCAATTGGGCCCTCATTCGTGCCCCGTTACTGAAAAAAAAAAGGAAAAAAAGGCTCTTCACTTTTGGTTGTCGGTGCGTTATAAAAGGAACGGACAAATACCAGTTTTCGATCAAACTAGAGTAGCCTAAGAGTTGGCGGTGGGTTATTTTGACTAGCTTCCTTCCTACTAGTCTATTACTTCAAAGTTAGGATAGGGTCGGCTAACCAGATAGTCCTCAACTAGTTTTGTGTGAATATCCGAAAATAAACAAACAGTTTGATTATTGGATTGAACGTGGCACGTTTAGATTATTTCGATGTTTGCTATGTCTTGGATCTAACAGGCGTGTCTATCTGGCCAATCAATCCCTAGTTTAGCTATGATGAATTAATGTTGGTTGCGTGTCCACAAACAAGCCGCCCCACACGTGGCACGTGCGAACGAATATTTCGCACTCGCCATCAGCTGTTACTGTCGCTTCTGGCATGCTGTAAAAGGAGACGTCAGCAGGCTGCGTGATGATGTGTAAGTAGAAGTTCTTGGTGGGTTGTGAATTATAGTATTGTAATAACACAAACATAGCTAGGTTTCTCTAACCGAAATATTAGAAAGCAATAGGCTTAGTATAACTACCATTTCTTGTGGAGGTGTTGTTAGGCAGCGCTGATGTCTGTATCTAGCAGTTGTATGATATGTCACTCCATTCCCACGTACTCCTCGCTTGTACCGACGGCTTCTTTCAGCCGCTTATGTCATGCAGGTTCAGAGAAAAAAGTGCAACAGTCATCGGCCGTGACTGAACTCTGTTCACCTCAATATGTTTCCGTCCCACAGAAAGCCACACCTGCTTCAACTCCGATCTTTTCTCAACAGGTATCCACATCAGTTTCTAGTCGTGACCTCAAGTTTGGAGTGGACAGAATTCTGGCTGAAAGTTCGTCTTTACAGGAAGGTAATTTACATAGATGTTTACTTGCAAACAACCAACCATACAAAATGTCTTATTTTCTTTAAAAACAGAATATCGTTTACATATACCTGAAATAAATCAGAAAAAAATCAGATTCAGAGAATAAACAAAATTTTATTTTAAGTGTTCGTAAAACCATGCATATCTTGAGAATAAAGCACAGCTTGGTGAATGTGTATTTGACAAACGCTCCAAATAAGCCCCCATAAATTCACATTTCTTTTCCTCTATTTTAAACTTTTGGGGAAATATTCGTTTGCTGGTTTTTTGTCATTAAGCTAACCATTATATAAAGATGTCATTTTTTGTTGACTTCAAGGTACCAACATCTATTTCTTGTACTTATAATAGTGTTTTAAGTTTGTTTTTACAGTATTACGGTTATTAGTGCCAATGTTTTCAAATTATTGGGGGTGCTCGAGCACCCATGGAGCTGATGCCTACGATCAAGATGATATTTATTTATTATTAGACCAAATATTTTAAAAATTTGTTAAAGTAACTAATTTTTCAAAGTTTATCAAGACAGACGGTAATGTGTCGTGCGGCGAAAACAGCCGGCTGGGCACACTGTGTGTTATTAACAGGAGTGATAGTTCAGCAATTTTCCACTTTCTGTAACTATGACTGTGGTAATCCAAACTATCTCATATTTTCCGTGGATGTGTTCTGCTAGACCCTTAATTCACATATCAACTTTCAAGGCAATCCACTAAGAAATACACGAGATATAAAATCTTCAATTTGGATTGAATTTCTTTAAGGGGGTAAATATTTTATACAGTATTAAAATTATACCTAAATGTAATTACAAGAAATATGCTCTTTTCTCGTGTCCTTTTATAAGAATGCATTGCTTTTTCGACACATTTGGCATTTGTTATCTGCTTTGGAAAGATCGCGCTCCAATTTCGTCTTCAGATTTGGTGATTTGCTGCCTTGTTGATCGCTTCAATTTTAGTTATTATTTTCATTAAGTTAACTAACACCTTAATTTCATTCACCAGCTTGTTAAAGGTACTTTTCACAGGCTCAGAAAATATAACAATGGTAAAATGGATCCGACTTGGTATTATGAATCGCATATTGTTCAATGGGATTTGTTGAAACAAGTTAATGTACTAGTGTAATCAGATCTTAATTACACTGAATTTGTCGAGAATACTCATTTTCTACAGGCCTCCCAGCAGCACAGCGGTGAGTTTCCGGACTTATACCGCTAGAAACCGGGTTTCGATACTAGTGGTGGGCAGACCACATATAGCCCTTTGTGTATAACTAGCGCTACATTGTAATTGTATTCATTGATTACACGGTGCTATTCAAATAAACTACAACTTAAGCTTTATTACTCATTCGTTGAATAGCAGCTACAGATCTTGTCCTCTTGATTTCTAAATAAAGGATGTCGTCTACATATGTTTAGTGTAGATGCTTGAGATTATGGTTTTACCATATAGTCAAAACGTTTAGTAAATATAAAGACTCGTCAGAATGTTGTTTGTTTTTGATAGCAAAATGAATAAAAGTCGAATAAAATTCATGAACTTCATCGAATTTTACAAAACAAAATATATAAATGTAATTTATTCAACAGAAGAGCAGAAATCCCAGTTTGCCTCAAAATCAGCTGACCAAACAATGTTAAAACATAATTGCACGTTAATTGAAAGCTAATAGAAACTTTAGAAATTTTGGTACATACAATGTGACTTAGAGTGACAGTTAATTTTAACTTTCTTTGACAATTTGAAAGGTTAAAAAAACAAATTTAAAAAGGTTATTAAAGAGACAGATAAAGAAGGAAGTAGAAAGACATTTAACTCTTAAAGAAACATGCATGAAAGCTTTGAAAAGACGAATAAAGTCTGATCAAATAGGAAAGAAAAGAAAGAAAACGTCAGTATACAGCACAAATTAGACTGGCTAGTTGTAGATAAAACTGTAATGAACAAAGATATGAATCTAAAATAGATGATACGATTAAACTGACGTTGGTATACGTTTCAACTTAGACTAGCGTGCTGGCTAGTTCTAGATGAAAATGTGATAAGCGGAAGTAGGCAACTAATCTAGACCATTCAGATATTGAAGTCTCCTGGTGGAACAGCGCTAAGTCGACAGACTTACAACGCTAAAATCCGGGGTTTGATTCCCGGTGGAAGATACAGCGTATAGCCCAAAGCGGCTTTGCTAAAAACAAACAAACAAATATGAAACTAAACTCCACAACTCAGAAGTTGGAAAAACACTGAAAGAATGGCGTATTCACAACAAATCCACAAAATCACATTCATCACGATATGAAAGACATTAGATCAATCACATGTATAGTAACCTGATTATATGGATAATAAAACTCAAATGATGAAACTCGAGTGTGCTACTTCCCTCCTGCTTTTTAGTCACACAAGGGTTAAAGGCCACCTACACCAATCACCAATTTAATTGCCTACAATAAAGCTTTTAACGTGTTGGCCACTGGCGTGTTGGTTTTCATAAGTGAATCTGGAGCTAAGATAGAACAGAATTTTGAATACACATAGGCAGATAAAATATGAATTACAAGAAAAGGTACAGCGGTGCAGGACAAGAAATCACATTATTAACAAGAACAAGAGCATTATTTGTGGTATCAGGTTAACATTTAACAGTTAAGTTTCGGATTCTCCTTTCATCCTGAGTTGGTGATTTCCCATGACAAGAATATCTACAACTGAATCACAGGAATTTACTACTTCACGTTCAGAAACAAATTCAAGTCCATTTGCAACAGACGTTAAAGCATAAAGTACAGGATCGAAGCCAGGAGCTGGGCAAAAGTTTTAACTCATGTTTAAAATTCATACTCTGTATAGGATAACAATACCTTTAGAAGATATCGCAGATTTTTTGTTTTGTTTACAAAATTAGAGTTCAAATTTTATTTGAAAAGAAGCATTACAGGACTTACTTTGCTTGTTGTTAAGAGCATAGCTAGAAAAAAGGGCTATCTGTGGTTTGCCCAACACGGATATCGAAACCCGGTTTTTAGCGTTGTAAGCCCTCAGACTTAACGTTGAACCACTGGGGGCTTGTTTGTTTGTTTGTAATTAAGCACAAAGCTACACAATGGGCTATCTGTGCTCTGCCCACCACGGGTATCGAAACCGGATTCTAGCGTTGTAACTCCGCAGACATACCTCTGTGCCACTGGGGGCAACATTAAAGAAAGAAAATGCACTCTCCATTTTATTCCTCAAAGCTAGTGACCCTTTCAAACAGAGCCGTAGCAGTATTTTAGCGCCCCTGGGCAAGTTTCCAGTCTGTATAGTTCTGCATAAATTATTGAAAACAGGCTTAGCACTCGGCCTTCCGGCTGCACCCTGGGCAACTGCCCTTCTCGCTCTACCCTAGGTATGTAATTACAACGAACTTGCAAGTATGTTGCAGTATTTCTATTGTACCAAGTGGCTTCCTTGAAATTAACTGGTTTAGATTTAGTGTCTCGGTAATTTAACGGTTTATATTTTTATATTGGCTGGTATGGCTGCTCTTTTTTTTTTCTCGACGTCTACATAATTTCATTTAAAACATTTGTATTATAAATGTAAACTCCAGAACTTTGTAGATAATAGAATAATTATAAAACCCCTAAATCTTTGCATCATGACATTATGAAAACGTAATAATACTCATAAATCTTTTTTATAATGATTCATGCTCTTTCAGATAGTATTTCGTAGCATATCGTTTTCAACAACTATATAACTAATTGTTTGGTCGACAAGAATTACTAGTAGACATAACAATCACAAAGTATTTATAGAGAGGGGTGATCTCTTAACTTATCGTACACGAACTGTTTAAATATTGCATCAAAATATCATACTCTCTTCTTGCAGTCGAACTATGTTGAAAGGTTTACGAAATTTCTATTTTTCTTTAGTTTTACGGGTGTTTCCTTCCGGAAAGCCTTGTTATTTATACAGTTTAAAGTAAAAAAACACGATTGGAATTGAGATTTTTAACCAGAAATCCATTTATGCGCACGTTGACTAAACGGCCAGATCAAAGACCCCTAGGGTTCAGGCATAGATATTCCTAATTTTGAACTAGAAAGAGGGAAGGCAGCCACCCAACAGCAACCTCAGCCAAAGAACTTTGGCCGGCTCTATGAATCGGAACTGACTGTCACTTTTACAATAGCTGTAGTGCAGAGCTTATTCAGCAGCATCACGTCTCAAACTTCAGGTCCCTCAACCCTTAATAAGACACGCTCACCACTCAGCCACAATAAAAACGTACATTCCTATTAAGGATTTGAAGTTCTTAAGATTTAAATAACTTATCTGATTATTAGTCAAATCCATTACAAAAGATAGTTAATAAGATTCAATAATATCTTCATGACATTATATGTACAAAAACAATTCTCCACTTTTATTTCTTGATAGTTTATATTTGAAATTTAGATGTCGTCATTTACTTCTGTATATATTTCATTACAATCAAACACATATATGGAATTAACACCAACGCCATTTCACGGTATGTACACTGACCGGTAATTTTCAAAGAACACACCCGCGAACAATAGTAGAACTCTCCATTTTTGGCGTATTAAAAGCTTGATCGTATAATTTTGTCATGCAAGACAATGGGTGAGAAAAAAACTCTCCAACTTTTCAAGATACCCTTTTCGGAGGAGCATATTTATCAAAAGTTATTTATCTTACATCTTCCTTCAAATTCCATTAACATTGATAATGGTTATTGTTTCTGTATTTTTAGTGCAAAGTTCACAATAGGTCATCTGCGCTTTGTCTACCGCAGGGAGTCACAGCCCGGATTTTATCTAATAATAGAAAAGGCAATACGTTGGCCACTGAAACATTTCTTGTCACCAATTGATGATAACAAAATGAGGAAAAAGGCTGATGTTTTTTAATGTGGTCATTATCCTTCTGCGATCTCTTACCATAATCTGCGAAGGACGTTGA